TAATTTTTTACTATTAGGTTCTGTGTCTAATATATATAAGTGTTAGGATTAGAGATCAGATTAGCCTTAGGATCAGGAAACAGGAAAGGTTTAGGTTAAAACTAATTAAAAGAGGCGTAAAATTAGGAGGAATGCAAACTAGAATAATTTTTGTTACTTTTAGGATTTGGGTACAACCAGGACTAGGTTTAGAATTGAAATGTCAGCCATGGTTAGGGTTAAAAAAAATTAGGAAAAGTGTAAAATGTAGTGCAAAACTGCACCTTAATTTAAGAAATATGAGTTGAATCAAAGTTAGGATGATTGAAAATAATTCTATTTGTATATTTTATTCAGGTATAATTAGATTTAGTGCATTGTAGGTTCCAGTTTGTGTTTACATTTACTATTAGGAAATGGTAAATTAAAGAGTCAAACTGAAATTAAAATTTGGAATTATAGCCATGTGCTGGTAGCTCACACCTATAATCCTAACTACTCAGGAGGCTTGAGATCTGAGGATCATAGTTCAAAGGCTACCCAGGCAGGAAATCTTATCTCCAATTATTCACAGAAAATGCCAGAGATGGCACTGTGGCTCAAATGGTAGAATGCTAGTCTTGAGCTCAGGGATAGTGCCCAGGGCCAGGGTTAAGGCCCCAAGACTGGCAATAAATAAAAATAAAAATTAGAATTACAATTTGAGTAAAAGGATGAATGAAAAATTGTGTATTTGTGTTAATATTAACATTTAGGTATAATTAGGGTTAGGGTTAGGGTCTTAGAAGGGATGGCTTAGGATTGGGTTTAGAAAAATGTATTGTTGGGGCTGGGAAGGTGGCTCAGTGGTAGAGTGCTTGCCTTGCATGCCTGAGGCCCTGGGTTCGATTCCTCAGCACCACATAAGCAAAAAGAAAAAAGCCAGAAGTGGCACTGTGGCTCAAGTGGTAGAGCGCTAGCCTTGAGCTGAAGAGCTGAGGGACAGCGCCCAGGCCCAGAGTTCAGGCCCACGATCGGACCCAAAAAAAAAAAAAAAAATGTATTGTTTAGGGTAAAACTAACAAAGAATTTTGAGTCTAGTAAAAGATGAGATGAATGAGATGAATATGATATCTGTGTTATTATTAGGATTCGGATTTGGGATATAATTAGAATTGGGTTATAGTTAGTTTTCCAGGCAGAGTTAAGTTTAGGGTTAAGGTTAGAAATGGGTGAAGATTAAGGTCAATCTGAAACAGAATTTTAGAAGTACAGGTCAAGTCAAAGTTAAAATGAATGAAAACTAAGATTCCATTATAATTAGGGTTAGGGTTAGACTCTAGTCGGGTTATGTTAAGATTAGAGTTGGGAAAAAGGTAAGGTAAAACTGTAACTTATATTAAGAATTATGAGTCAAGTAAAAGTTAGGATGAGAGAAAACTAGAATATTTATTGTACTATTAGTATCTGAGTATAATTAGAACCAGGTGTAGAGTTAGGGTTCTTACATAACTAAGGCCTAAAGATAAGTGATTTATCCTAAGTGGCATTGGTGATCACTCACCAAAACTGGAATTTCCAAGAGACCTGGAATTTCACCTCCTCATCTGCACATACTTTACCTTCTCCTTCTGGCCATACTCACTGGTGTCCTGTTCTTTTCCTTCTTGCACTCTGTTAAAGATGTGTGCATGAGTGTGTGTGATTTGATTAATCTGCCACTCTCACTGGACTCAAGATGCAGGAGAATAGGTTTAAACTGTTTGATACCTGCCGCATCTGTTTAAAGCATGAAGTAGATGAAGACAAAGATATACTGACAGTGCTACTGGGGACCTTTTATTGCTGTAGTAACTTCAGTTGTTGGAATTCTGTTGTTGGAAATCAGCATTTGTTGTCACCTGTTTTCTTGATGTCTGCTGTTCTAACTGGGGTGAGTTGGGATCTTAGTGTAGCTTTGGCTTGCCTTTCCTTAATGGCTAAGGATGTTGAATATTTCATGTATCTGTTAGCCATTTGGACTTCTGAGAATTGTCTGTTCGATTCATTGGCCCATTTATCACCTGGGTTATTTCTGCATTTGCTGGTAAAAGTTTTCTTCTATTCTGTGGGTTGTCTCTTGAGTCGAGTAATTGTTTGTTTTGATGTGCAAAAACTTTTAAATTTGATGTAGTCTGAGTCATACATTGTTGTTCTTACTTGGTGGGCTTCTGAAGGCATCTGTGCTTCCAAATATGATTGTCTATGTCTGTGTCTTCCAAAGTTTGCTCTATATTTTCCTGTAGTAGTTATAAGGTCTTAAGTCTTACATTAAGATCTTTGGTCCAGCTTGAGTCAAAGATGGGGAATTAGTTTCAGTCTTCTGCACACTAATAACCAGTTTCATGCTATCATTTGTTAAAGAGTCTGGCTTTTCTCCAATATATTCTTTTTAAAATTTTATATGTTTTTTATTGTAAAAATACTGTACAGAGGGGTTACAGTTACATGAGTAAGGTAATGAGTACATATCCTACGGAGCACTGTTGCCTCCTCGTTTGTTTTTCCCCTACCATCCCTTCCTTTCCCACCCCCCCAATTACTTCCCCTCTCTCTCCAATTGTCCCCCTCTCCCCAATTCCCCCTTTGTCAAAGACAAGGTAGTTGTGTGGTTGTAGTTGCATGGCTTTATTTCTAGATCTTCTGTTCTGTTATATTGGTGTTTGTGTCTGCTTTTGTACCCGTACAATGCTGTTTTTTATTGCTGAGGCTCTGTAATTTGAAGTTCTGTATTTTAATACATTCAGCATTACTATGTTTTTTGATACCTCCAGTGTTACTTTGTTTTCACAAGGAGAAAGGAGTCCCTTCCTATACATAGTTGGTGGCAACTAGCATAACCACTATGAAAGTCAGTATAGAGGTGCCTCTAAAACTAGAAAATTACCTATCTTAGCATCTACGTACATAATGCTCTCTGGACCAAGGGAAGGAAATCAATATATGAGAAAGATACCTGGATGCTTGTGATTTTCACAGCTCTGTTCACAATAGCCCAACTATGGAATTGGCCCAGGTGCCCAATAAACTATGCACTGATAAAGAAAATCTGGTGTATATATATACCATGCAACATTACTCAACTGAAATGATGTCTTTTGCAAGAAAATGAATGGCTCTGGAGATCATTATAGTGCACACAGTAACTCAAGTCCCAAATGCCAAGGACCACATGTTTCCATTCATTTGACCTGTGTAGTTCTAAAATGATAATGACAACAATAGTCATAGTAATGTGTCATGAGTATTAAAGGAGATTGTCTAGGAAAGTACCAGAAAGATGAGGTGGGAAGGAGGAATACTGAGGAATAAAGATGATTGAAGGAGAGAGTGAGAAAGAGAGACAGAGAGAGGACATAGTGAAACCCACCAAATATTGTTTGAAAAAGAGAGGGAGGAATGGAAGGAATGAGAATTTGATGAAGTGGGTAAATTTGTTCCAAGTGTACTATGCACACGAGCATAACCCCTTTATATTACAACTGATAGAACTGAAAAATACAGGTACTCAAAAACAAAAATAAAATAAAGTCTTGTGTTTTTTCCAGCTTTTAATATTTTTTGTATATATTTTATTGTAAAGATACTGTACAGAGGGGTTACAGTTATGTGAGTAAGGTAATTATTACATTTCCTATCAAACAAAGGAGGAGGTAACAATGCTCCAAAGGCTTGTGTTTTGAGGGAAAAAAAGGCTGTGGACATTTGAGTTGGTAGACATAGCCAGGAATATGAGAATCACTAGGGAATTCAGGCTAGCACTCTGAATTATTATTGCCAAATGGCAAATAATAGGCTACCACCAGACAGGAGCTTGCAACTGCGGTCTAAGATAAAAGATATCATAACTTCTTCCCCAAGGTGTGATCTGGCAAGCATAAAGGAAAAGGTGTGTAATTGGCAGGGTCCCAGTAAAAAGAAGGAAGGAAGAAGGAAGGAAGGAGGAAAAATATATCCTTTGTTATTTTTTTAATTAAAGAATTTTAAGATAACCACAGCATTGAGCCAAGTGCAAATCTCTTACCCAAGTTGCCCACCCAGAAATCAGGTCTTGCCAACATGTATATTCCATCAAACCTCGACTGGAATTTTCTATTAGAAAATTGGCAAAAAGAAGAAGAAGAAGAAGAAGAAGAAGAAGAAGAAGAAGAAGAAGAAGAAGAAGAAGAAGAAGAAGAAGAAGAAGAAGAAGAAGAAGAAGAAGAAGAAGAAGAAGAAGAAGAAGAAGAAGAAGAAGAAGAAGAAGAAGAGAAAAAAGAAAAAGAAAAAAATTGGCAAGGGAGTTTTGCACTAATGGGGGAGGTGAACGCATCTTGCCACACAGTGGGACTAAATAGTAACGGAGGGGGAAGGCAGCCGTGCTCAGCGAGATACCCGGAGGAGCAGGTGCTCGTATTCTATCTGTGCTACCTTAGATCAAAGCTCCATGGGGAAAATCCTATTGCGTACGAGTCAGGGATTCCCTTATCCTGCTAATACTGAACCCCACTCACAGCTTAGTTAAGTCACATCTGATTTGTTATTTTTTTTAACCAGGCATGAAACAGTTGTATCGGTGGTCCCTCCAGGCCATGCCATTCAAGGATTTTCTATCCTTTCAGGTTTGGTTTGGATTTTCACTTCTCCAAATAAACAGTCACTCCCAACCCAGAGCGAGTGGGCGATGCCCGGTGCCCACCCGCCCCGTCTCCCCGCGTGGCCGCGCAGCCCCGCCCCAAGCCGCTGCGGGTCTCCTGCCTCCCTCCCGCCTGTGAAGGGTGGCAGTCACACTGTGCGATCTCCCCCCGTACGGTGGCCGTGGGCGGGGCGGGACAGGCTCTGTCCCCGCCCGTGGAGACACTGGGGAGGTGGGCAGGGCCCAGGGAGGTGGGCAGGGCCCGGGCCGGGAAGGCAGAGGGGCGCACGCCGCCGGCACGCACCCGCACCCGGTAGCATGGATGTCCCCAAGACCCGGAGCTGAGGGGCGCGCCGCCGGGGACGGGGGGGGGGCGCAGAGGAAGGTGAGCCTGCTATTCCTCAGGGGGAGGGTCTCCACACCGTTCCGCGTGGCCACGATGATCCCTCCCAGCGGCACCCGAGAGGACAGCGTGGACGGACTGCCCCGGGAGGCGGCACCGAACACGGAGCAGCCGCCCTCTCCTGCGTCCACCAGCAGCCTGGAGTCCAAGGTACGCGCGCGCGCGCACGCTTAGCCCAGGGCAGAGCCCAGGTGCTCTCTCCCTGTCCCTGCCACCTCTCCTCCTCCGACCTGGCGCTGGCACGGGGGAGCTAGAAGGAGCTAGAAGGTGTCCCTAGCTTTCCCTTGAGACTTGAAGCGTCCGGCAGGACCCATTGCCTACCCTGCTGTTGGGTCCCGGTGGCCCCAAGGCTTTGCGCCACGCTTCTACCCTGGGCGTGCCTGCCAGTCCCAGTGACTCCTGGTTTCTTGGGGCTGACAGGAGGTTTGGCTGTCCTGTGCTTGCAACCTGCTTGTGTGTCCTGAGCTCCTGTTCTGTACGAGGTGGGTAAGGAAAGGGGAAGGATGGAGACAGTCCAGAGACACTCGCAGACAAGCCTGGGCCCACCCTGGGCCAGCAATGGGGTGTCCTATCTGAAGAGTCTCAGAGACCTCATGCCTAACATCATATCCCAATAGTTGAAAATATGCGTTTATATATGCTTGGCAAAAAAAAAAAAAAGCACTGCGTCTGCGAGAAAAGTTGGTGTTCCTCTTGTGGAAGTTAATACTCTTTAGAACTTAACGCTTGCCTTTAAAAGAATCACGCTAACACACTCACACATGCACACACACATACACACACACACACACACCCAACCCCGCAGTTCTGTCAACTGTCACTATTTTACTTCCTCTGAAACTTGCGTGGGTGCCAGGCACATGTTTGGAAATGTTGGAAGAGGATCAAGTAAAATGTGGCTGCCAGCAGCCACACGATGCCGAAAGGCAACTCATCTGGGAGCAGAAATCACAACGTGGGGTTACAGTTCTATGGATCCTTTTAAGTACAGAGCCCCTGGCTCTTTGCTCAGAGTTTGCTGTGAGAACCCAAGGCGTTTTTGCCATGTGAGCAGTGTGATGGCAAAGGAAAGAGGGAAACCCCCTCCCCTGGCCCCTAGATGGGATTGGGGCAAGGAAAAAGGCAACATTGTCTCCCTGCAGGCTCATCCCAGGTAACCAGTGGCAAAGTTGGGTAGCAAATCACAGCCGACCGTGGCTTTGGGGATTTGATGGGATGTTGGGTCCAGTCTTGTGATATTAGCCATCAAAGATGTTCATCTAACACAGAGAGCTTTGCTTTGCTTCTTTCCACTCTCTCTTTCTCTCTCTCCCTCTTTTTTGCTCCTGTTCTCTCCTATTAATTACTGACTATCTGATCTTGGCATCTTTTCCAAAAGTCAGCTGGAAATGGAGGCAGAACACCCCCTCCCCTCCTCATCTTCCAGGATCCTTGTGAGGAATGTGTGGGATTTCCTAGTTTCCGTCTTGGGGAGGGCTATGGATTCTGCTTCCTCTCTTCTTTCTGAGATGAAGCAAATAATCCCTACTAGTCTGCCTCAGCTCAGCATCCCTGGTGTGCATGCACACTGCAACCCCCTCTCCCCCAGCAAGAGGAGCCCAGTGCTCATCACCAGCCATCAATCCCCAGAAGTGACATAGACATTTCAACAATGATGTAGTACTGTGAGGGAGTGTAGGTCAAAGCAAGACTGAGAGTGGAATTCAACTTTTGGAGGGGGGCCTGCTGCTCTGCAGTAGGTGTATTCTGGAATAGCCTTAGCATTTGAATAAAAGGCAGCATGGTTCAAACACACTGTATGGATTCGCTATTTATAGATGTCCTAATGTAAATTATTTGGCAAAGCAAAACCTTATATGCAACGCCCATAATTATTCACCCATTTATCCAACTCATGGTTTCTGATGGATATGAGTCAGTTTTCCTCAGTGGTCTGTACACCTGATGTGTGTTTACACATTCTTCCATTTTCTGTCATGGCTGAGTCACCTTAGTCAGTGGAGATGAACTCTGGAGGGACCCATGAATCCCAGGAAGTAGAACACAGAATAGTGTTCCCCAGTGTGATTTTTTTTTTCTGGATGTGGTTTTTATGATTGTTTTAATGGGTTCCTGCCTCCCAAAAGAGACCTGAACTGCTGGCATGCAGGAGCATGTAGTCGCGGGCCTATAGCATGGAAAAGGAGCAGAGAAAAGCTCCAGTCCTTCTAACGAGGAAGGCGCATTGTGGAGCACATTGGTATTTATGAAGCTCTTCTTCCTGAAGAGAAGAACATGGTGGGAATATACTAGCGGCATTGGTAATCTCTCCACCTGACTCTCCTCTGAGGCAGTTTCAATTATCAAAATATGAATATTTCCAAATAAGCCAAAATAAATTTTAAGCATGTCACTACAAGGACAAGTAAGTGAGGTAATGCATATGAGAATTTGCTTGATGTAATCATTGCACATTGGAGACATATCACATTGTACTCCAGAAGTGGAATATAATTATGATCTCTCTCAGTTTAAAATATAGAAATTTAAAGAAACTCATGGACTAAACAAAGCCCCTTTTGACATTAAATTCAATTATGAAAGTTTAAAAAGTCTCTTGCAAGACTAGAGATGAGACTCAAGTGGTTGAGGACCAGCCATGAACAAAAAGTAAACAAGAGACTGAGGTTTTGAGTTCAAGCCCTGGTATATTCTGTACTCTCCCTCTCCCCCCTCTCTCCCTCCCTCTCCCTCTCTCCCTCCCTCCTTCTCTCACACATACACAAATACTCATACACATACACACACAAGCTAAAAACTATTCAGCTGGGTGCCTGTGGTTCACACCTGTAATCCTAACTACTCAGGAGACTGAGATCTAGAGATCTGATTCAAAGACAGCTTGGACAAAAAAATCTCTGAGGCTCCATCTCCAATTACCATAGTAAAATGCCAGGCTGGAGGTATGGATCAAGTGGTTAGAGTACCAGCAGGGCATAAGACCCTGAGTTGTATTCCAAATACCAGCACACATACAGAGAAAAAAGGAGTCTTAGAAAATTTTTAAAAGTTACTTTTTAAAAAAAACTATTTTTCTCTGATTTAAGAGTAAGGAATATTCTGTGAATGTTGGAAAAGCCCAAACAAAAATAAAGAAAAAAAATCATCCTTTGGTTCACAATCCAGAGACAAATACTGATAGCATTTTGATCTGTATCTTATATCTTTTTTCTTGTTTATATTTGCACGGTGGCATTAACACTAGTGAGCACCAATTGAAAGCTGACTGTGAGTCAGGCACAGCCTTAGTCTTCATCTTAGAAGAATCTGCCATGATTTCCATGTTACATCTAGGGAAGTGGGAGCTCAGGTGCCCAAGCCCAGGAGCTTAGCTACACAAGATCTCATCGTGAATCTACTGACACAGACAAGAGCAGGGCCTAGGCAGAATGGCTCTGGAACCTAAACCCTTACCCTCCTACAATTATCTTTTGCCTGAACACTGTTGTCCCTTGACCCTGTCGACTGCTATTCTAAGGATTGTACATGCCTCTCATTCACTTGCCACAGTGCTGTGCCTTCTAAAGAAACCCTTAAGAAATCAATCAGACTGTAGATCACTCTCAAGTGAAATGAGCACTAATAACCAACTCTTGGCCAGCTTCTTTGCAATAGTGATTGCTGCTTTTTCTCCTAAAAGTGTATTGATGGAAGGAATGAAATGGAGTATCACAGAATTATCTGGAAAATGGGATTATGACATACTATCTCCATTAGTGTGTCTATAAAATGTCATAAAATATCTAAAACGTGTATATATAAACTATTAGAGGCATATAAAATACATAAACTATCTCCAGACCTAAGGTGAGCATATAAAAATGTCTCCAGAAGTTCATTTCTTCTGCAAATTCTTTGAAAGGATAAATAATAAAGTATTAAAATGGGAGACACTACAGATTACCTGTTCTAGGTAGTTTTTAAAATTATGGATCACTGTATTAAAATTATTTTATTATGGAAAATGTCAGTATACATTTTATTTTATTATGGAAAAAAACAATATAATCATCACATAACATTAGGTCTTTACTGCTCAATTATTTATTTATAGGTAATATTGTTTTACACATTACTATCCCACCAACACACACATGCGCATGCGTGGGTGCACCACACACACACACACACACACACACACACACACACACACACACACACACACACTGCCCTCTCCCCCCCCCCCCGCCCCCAACAGGAGCATTTTCAAAATTTCCAACCATCAAATCATATCATCCAGAAGTATTTCAAACTAGTTGCACCTCTAAAGGTATCGTTTGGGAAACTTGACAGTGATGCTATTTAAATATAATCCAGGTGGGTTTTTAAATCAAAAGGTCAATATATTCTATCTATATCCTCTCATACAAGTCACTACCCTTCTCTGGGACCCCATTTCTGATTTGAGAGAGAGAGAGAAAGAGAGAGAGAGCACTCCATCAACGGTGTTCAGAAAAATAAGTCATATATAGGAAATGATTTAAAGTATACATTACAACCACAAAGGACATGCATACCCTTCATTATTTAGTCTCTCTATCTTTCCATCTCCTTCTCTTTCCTTCTCCACCTTCTCCTTTCCTCTCTGCGCTCTCTGTTGCTCTATCTCTCAGAAACAGAGTTGGAAAAAGCATAGTGATTTATCTGAGTGGCACAGATAGTTACTTACCCCTAGCCAAGAATCCTTTCTTGGGCTTTGAATATCCCAGTATGATTTTTCTTTCAGCTAGTTCCTGTAAGCACATGTAGCAATGTCATGTAATCTAATTGTGGTTTTTCCTTTCATTAGTTGAGCTGAAAAAGCTGGAAAGCCACTAATGCACCCCACGCCTTTATCTTTCCACTAGCTATTCCAGAAAGGCCATAGCCTAATTTATTTTCTGAGTGCCAGACAGAGATCACTGAACCAAAGAAAAATGTCTTGCTTCACTCTCTCCCTTGTCTCCATAAGCGACTTTTCCCCCATTGACTTTTTGACAGCACAGAAAGCTTTTGATGATCTAATGTGAAGGCTTGATATCGATGCCTTTGACAACACTTATGGACCCGAGGCCCCAGTCTGAGGATGGTGGAGGGATTATAGGCTTTGAGGTCAGATAGATAAGAGTGCA